AATGCTACTCACCCTAAAGATAGAAGGCAGGTAGCCTAAATAGACTATAAAAGGGACAGAAAAAAGTTAACATGGTCCCTGCTTGCTCTGCTGCCTTCTGCCCACCATAAACTGTTTCTCCTCTGCCTGTCTGCCATAACACCCTGCCTTAGAGCCATCTGACTATAAACAGAGACCTCTACAAACTGTAATCTAAAAAGACCTCTCCTCCTTTAACTTCAGTTGTCAGCTGTTTGGTCTCAGCAATGAGAAAAGTAACTAAGACAGATAGTATGTAGACTATAGATTTTTGGCAACACAAAAAGTTGGCAACTCCCAGCCTTTTGAAATGTTACAGGTGCACAAAACTGCAGAATCCAGGAGACCTGCTTTCTGGCAGCATGACTAGGGTGTAGGCACTCTGCTCACCTAGAGATTCAAGGCTTGTGAGGGGCACAGCATCTGTCTTGATGGATGACTTGTTAAGAAGAAGCCACACTCTCTCCATCTGACTTAGGCGTGAGAGAGCAAGAAGAGATTATTACCCCACCCTCTCTGTAAGCACAGAGCTCCTTCCCTGTGTGACACAGATACAGAGGAAGTGGAGCAAAGCTAAGAGCAGACTCTGGTGAAAAAGAACCAAGAACCTTGCCAGGAAAAAAACAGTAACAGAAGCCAGTGAGCTATGCTGTGGATGTTATTGCTAGTAATAGCAATAACAGAAATACCAACACTCCTCTAAGTACATCTTCACACTCACAAATGAAGGAAACAGATTTTTGACAAATTAAATTTCATCCCCCAAAATATTATCATTTCAATAGGATGTTAGAACCCCATCTCAACAAGATTAAAAAGTGCTTATCAAGATTTTAATAATTTAATCATTATAAAAAATTAGAACATGTGGATTTCCTATTGTTTTGAAATTCTGTATCACTTTCACTGTTTTAATCTGTTTTATATTGTTTGGTCTTATTGTCTTAAAAATAAAACATAAAATAAAAATCTATAAAAATTAGAACATACCACAATCATCTCTGTATAATTATTGAAACCTCTTACGTAGCAAGTAAATATTCAAGGAAATAACCTTTTCTTTCTTATGCCTTTCTGCAACAGCTGTGTACCATGAACTTTATAAAAGTGTAAATTACAATGATAGTTTTGTATTTATGTCCATCTTCCCCTCTATACTGATGGAGGTTTGAATTGAAGATGACTTGTAAAACCTGAGTGTGACAGTACTCTATCAGTTTCAAATTGCCTTCGAGATGCAATGAATGTCCTTGGAAATAAGAAATTTTCACATATCTGGCCTGGTGTGGTGACAGATACCTGTAATCTCAGCACTTGGGAGGCTGAAGTAGAGGACCACTGAGAGTTTGGGCCAGGCTGGGCTTCACGGTGAGTGCAAGGACAGCTTGAACTACACAGCAGGGCTCTGTCTCAAAAAAAATTATTCCCTTATAAGAAATTCCAGCTTTAGGACCTAAGTCACAGACAAGAAAATAGGGCCATAAAGGGGGATTTTGTTTTCCTCACAGAAATAAAGTGTGGATAGTGAGGCAGAAATACAGATAAAAGACAGGTGAATCAGTGGATTTAAATTCTACATGAGAATTAAGAGTAATAAATAAACTTCAGTTAATTACAAATATATAGCAAATTACCATGATAATAAATACAGTTCTAAAACAACTTCTAATTCCTAGATATTATTTCCAGCCTACAAAAAGGCTGCTTGGGAGGCGTACATGGTGGCACATACGGTGGCACACACAATGGCACATGGCAGCAACAGCCACTACTCTGGAGGCTGAGGTTGGAGGGCCATGAGTTTGAGCCCACCCTAGAAATTTAGTGAAAATTTTAAATCTGTCTCAAAATTTTAAATAAGGAGTTAATGATATAGCTAAGTGATAGAGCACCCCTACATTCAATCTCAAAAGAAAGGAGAGAGAGAGAGAGAGAGAGAGAGAGAGAGAGAGAGAGAGAGAGAAAAGGAAGGAGGAGAAGAAGAGGAGAGGAAGAGGGAGAAGGAGAATGACATTTCTTAAGGATCCAGAGAACAGAAAAACTTTCTGTCTGTGTTTTTGTAGACTGAGAATTGAACCCAGGGCCTCACACATTCTAGGCACAAACTATATTGGTTCTTAATTTCACACAATTTTATTTGCAACTCACAAGTAACTTTTTAGTCTTTAAAAATAGAAGAGGCTGGGGATTTAGCTCAGCAGCATAAGTACCTTCCTTGCAAGTGTGTGGTCATGAGTTCAATCCTTGGTACCGATAAAAACGAAAAAGACAAAAAAAATATATAAATTAGTTATTTTTAAAGGCACAAAATTACACCTTAAAATGGGCAAAATTAAAGCTGGACTGTCCAAATGAGGGAAGACTAAAGAGCAGAGTAAGATGTTAGTGTCTCCTGCACAGACACGAGCCTGTGTTTACCTGTGCTTACAAATGTCATCATTTGAAATGCCACGGGAAAACCACTAAGAGAGCTGTACATGAAATAACTAACACCACAAAGCCAATCTCTCTGTCTCTATATAACCAAGTTCTATTTTTAAAAATATCAGTCTCAATTGTTTGGAAGCGATAATTCAAGCTTCTGAAATTTCTAAAACATTCCATAGCAATTTTCTAAAAGAAGCTAGTAGTTTATTTGTGTTGTCCTCCTATGCTGAAGCATCCTCTAATGCTGAAGAATTTTTTGTTCTTTGGGCATCAGCAGCGTGCAGAAGAAGATGTCCACAAAACCATTAGTCTCGCCCTGACCAGAAAGCCAGGACACACCCTGTCTAGAACAAAGGTTTCAGCATGGGAGCCCCAAACCTGGCAACTATTATAATGATTACGGTGTCTTAAATTATAGAAGGAGAAATGAAAAGTTCTCTGAACTAAAAGCAGTTTAGGGACACATTAAAAAAAACTGAAGATTAAAATGAAGGAAGTGGAAACAAATGAGAATAAACTCATGGTTGTTACAAGTATGTACAGCATTGTCTTGATGCCTTTCTTTTGAAATAGTATGTTAACCACAAAGTTACAGGATCCACCGTCCTGTAACTGTCCTGTATCAGAAGGAGAGGACAGGTGCTTGGTGGTGGGACAAAAGGATGGATATTGAGAAAGCTAAAAGCCTTGTGCTGGAACCTCCCCAAGATCCACACTGCTCGGTCCTGTTTCCTGGTGCTGGAGCTACAGTCTGCTCGTGGGTCTCTTCTGTCAATAGAGGGCGCCGGAGGGACACCAGAGGAAGAAGGGGAAGAGGACTTGGCTCTGCCCAGCTCTTCCAGCCCAGTTCTTGTGGCTCTGCCTGGATTCCAGCATCCCAGGCCCTCACTCTGATGCTCTGAGCTTCAATGGAACCATTTGGGAAATTTCATGGTGGGTTTTGCCTCCATCTCCCCAGGGTTCGGAGTGAGGGGGTGAAATTTCTCTCTGGCTTTTTCGTAGACAATTTCTAGTGCCACTCAATGAGTTTTGCAAATGCCCCATGGTGTTGCGGGCCAGCAAACTGGACTGATGCTCTCCAGAGCTGGCTTCCTGCTTGCCAGCCGTGGCCCAAGCGGCGAGGAACTTCTCTGGCCCTCACAGGCACCACTATCCCCTCCTGGCAGCGTCGGAATCAGCTCTGGCTGTGGACACCCACTTCCAGATCTGTTCCTTCCGTGGGTACTCTGTTCAGGTAGAGGCTGCTTATTTATGTGTGCTCTTCTGGTATTCTCTAGGGGTTTTTTTTGTTTGCTTGTTTGTTTTTATGCTTTAGTAGCTTATCCTTGGCTACCAGTTAACAATTTTCCATTGGGTACTGACTTTGGAGTCTTCCCATTGAGCTATGCCTGTACACATGCACACATACACACATACACCCATATATAGGATTTGCCTAATTATTATGTTTTAATTATTGCTAGTATATTCAGGATTGTTAGTTCCTTCAAACATCTCACCAAAAAATGTCTGAATTCAGAAATATGTCATACATTTGTTTGGAAACCTACATCAAAGCAGAATGTGAATATAAGTACAAGTCAAAATGGTCAGGATGCTTATTCCATCATTTGAACTTCAACTGCAAAAGGCTAAGTAGGTTTTTTACCTTCTCAGTGTTGGAGTAGCAATCCTAATGTGTAAAGTGCATTAGGTCCACAGAGTCCCAGATCATCAGCCACCTGCCCTCCTTCCCTGCTCTCACAAAGCCAGACAATAGCTGTTTACCCAAAGGCTGGCATGGTAATGACTCATCTCAAGATAAAAGAGAAAGGGAAAGGGCTGGGAATGTAGCTGAGTGGTAGAGTGTATGCTGTATGCTTAGCAGATCTGAGGCTCTGGGTTAAATTCCTAGCGCCAGGAAAAGAAAAAGAAAGAAAGAAAAGAAAAAACAGGAAAGTTAAACTAAGCATAATAAAATCCTAAATTGTCCCATAGTTTTCTACAGAAAATATTTCAAAAGCATAAGCAAAAACAATAAACTTTCAATAAAACATTTTCCTCTTTGTTTTTCAAAAGAGTAAAGCCCAAATTAGGAAACAGAAGTGTATCCTCTTAATTTATGTCTGGCCCAATAGAAGTATTTTAGTTATAAGAAAGCTATTATAGATTTTCTAGTAATTAAACCTGCATAAGTTATGGACTTAATCAAAACACCTTTCAAGAGTCCACTGGTTTTTGGTTTTGTTTCCTAAGGCAGGGTCTTGCTTTGTAGCCCAGGCAGGCCTTGAACTCATTTTGTAGCTGAGACAGGCCTCAAACTCATAGTAGTCTTCCGGCCTTGGCCTCCAGCTGCTGGGATGACTGGAGTGCACCACCATACCTTACTATTCTGGTCTTAATAAAGATAGTGAGGTCTCCTGCAGACTAGCAGCTTTGAAGCACTAAACATGACAATGATAGAAATGGTCCAAGATTTAGTAAAGAAGACAATATTGAATATAACCTGAAGCTCAAACTTAAAATGGAATACAGATTGACCTGTAGATAGGCTCTGTAAATGAAAACATACTCACCGTGTTGGCCAGCTCTAGGTAGCTTCCTCCTACAGAGGTGCCAAACTGTGGGGACAGCGTGAGCAGTTTGTGGAGAGCAGCCTGCCGGTGCAAAGAGCTTCCGCCACACTCCAGCAGCTTCTGTAGGGCTGACTGAGTTTGCAAGTCAGGGCTCTGGAGATCCCTGGCACCAGAGTCATATTCCCAGCTCTCCTTGGCTGCTGATAAGGCACCTAGGTCCAGGAGAAGCAGGGAAAATAAAGAGACATTTCTATCATTAGCCTGCGAATGGCCAATAGGCGATGATTTGGAACTTCCTAACTCTCCCATGTGCCAGCAGCTTAGAACACAGGAGGCATCCAGGCTGCCTGCTAAGCACTTTCCCTTTCAAACTGACACATGGGGAGCCTGGAGATAAAAGCAGTTTTAGGCAGAGCATTCAGAAATAACCAGCCAATGAATATGCATCCCTCAAACTGAAATGCTTAGCAAAAACGCACTGGAGAGTCAAGTAAAAGAAATCCAGACCAGAGCCACATCTGCCTGTGATTGACACAGGCTAACTGTGTTAACCTCAGCACTGGTAATTTTGTTTCTCAAATATGGAAAAAAGGAAGCAAGTGAGAGGACAAACAGTAAGACATGACACTTTACCGTGACTTTCTAATGTCAGTGTACTCACACCCAGAAGAAGTTAGACTGTATTTTATGCTACGTACTGCCTGGCAGCTGAGTTCTAGACCATAAAATGTGAACATGAGTGAGAAGCAATACTTCCAGGCCTTCTGACCTGGTTCAAACAAGAATGGCATCCTTGGAAGCCATTAGACATGGTGGAGCCATGCGGTGCAAGATGCCTGGATTCCTGATTCATCTCCTGAGGGGAGCTCTGTGTCATCCAATACTTGCTTTGAGTTGATGTGATTAGCAAAGAAACTTCTGTTGTATTTGATTCAATGCATATTTTTGTTTTGATAGTTTTAACAGTATTAGCTTACCTACTACAGCAGTTATTGTAACCTAATAAAAGGTGCTAGTAATTGTAATACAATGGTAAAGCCCAGAAAAGTAGAGTTAGAGAAGGAGTACCTAACATCGCCCACCTGGAGAAGGACAGGCAAAGTTCAGGGAAACTTCCTGGGGTGAAAGCCTGACGCTTGACTGTCAGCCTGTCTAGAGAAGTTAGAATGGGGAAAAGACAGCTCCACTGTGTGGTTCATTTCTGAGTGGAAATCTCTTGTGGGTGCATGTGGGTGTGTGTGGAGCTTGTGTCACGTTTCTCTGCCTTAGACACAATGGAGGCTGGGAAATTGTGTTTTTTGGTTTCTACTTTGGGAAAGTAGAACCTGTAAGGAGAGTGATTTCTTAAACAGAGAAAGGGTAATCAAAAAGCCCAAGCAGCCAGGCAACATGACAAAGGGCCACACAGGCACAGCACTTTTTGCTAGAAACATAGTGGAAGACATGATAAATTGTAGCTCCTGCTTGAGGAGCTTCATGCTGGCGGGTCTTTAATACATGACTTATGACAAAGAAGAAACTCAAAATTATTCAGTTTGTACCATGAAATGAGAATATACATGATATGATAAAAATAGAGATGTTTAAATATTAAAAAATTTACTACAGTAAAAAAGCAAACTGTAATTAATCCCTCCAAAAACTTGCCTTTACTGATCACTTAGCTCATCATTCTTGCCACTTCTGGAAGTTTTGGGAGTCCCCTTTGTGTCTAGTTGTGATGCCACATCTGTGTCAATGTACTGAGGAGATTCAAATGTTTACCTTTTGTGTTCATTTTAATTCTGGGGAAGAGCCCGAAGTCACATGCTAAGAGTTCCCATGAATGCAGTGGATAAGGACACGTGGTAATTTTTTATGAGCCTCCTTTGTGTTGAACAGCACTTAACAGCAACATTCACCGAATTTTTATCACACCTTGTAAACACATTCATGAAAGAGTACTTCCACAACTGCTTCAGGAAATAGCAAGAACAATGGGTGTGTTTGAAGTGAGGGAGAATATTTTAAGAGGGATTAACAGTAATGTGTCTTACTGTAATAAACTTTTTATTTTAAATATATGATGTTCTGATCAGTCCTTATATACAGATTATTCCATAGTTTACTTGAGTATACATTCAACAAACTACAAATTGCATACGGTTCTGACATGAATGGCCAATCTCTTTCTACGGGGTACTGAACAATTTAATCAATATGACTAGGCAAACTATTTTCAGATGGTTTCTCCCTACTGTTCCTGCTCTATTTATCTCTATCCATCTGATCCAACATTCTTTTTATACAGCACTATGTCTTTTTATAAAGCACTATCAGCTGCTTTATGTCAAAGCGAGCAATACTATCACTATGCTGATAGTTGCTCAAAGTTTATTTTTATACAAAATCTATCAACTGTATTGCAAAGGAGGTTTTGCTTTCCTTCAACCTGGACTCTAAAATGCCTCTTCTCCTCCCCTCCTTCTCAGAATGCACTGTTATCTACTTAGCTGCCTCAGCTTCACTGTTCTGGCCCAGCAACAAGTGGCAAGAAGACAGACAGACTAAGGTCCGAGTAGAAACACGGGTGCCCTCTAATGGACTGAGTCCCAGGTTGTCTCTACTTCACATGGAAGTCAAGTAGACACAGTATCAGTCTTTGCCTTGTGTTCCCCACAGTAGCTCCAGCACTGTGCATACAGCCTGGGACATATTAGGTGTTTGATAAACATTTATTGACATTACTGAAATATTCATGGTTGTAGTATGCCAGGTTTTCACTTTTTAGCCTGGAAAAGCAACATGGCGACTACTTTTTCAAAATAATTAAAATAAATTATACCCTTAGGCTTTTTCTTGATACAAACACAAAGCCCCATTTTCAAATAATAAACATATAGTTAAGACTTTAACTTGGATAAGACAGCAAAAGAAAAAGATTTGTTTGAAATTTATTATGTAATATTAATAAATTGAAACCCAGTTTCTGGCAGGATCATATTTAGCTAAGCTCTTCCCATTGTTAGCATAACAACTTTTGCTGAAATAATGTTGAGAAACTCAGATTTTTTTTGCTAAGAATCAAGTAATCATAATAATACCCACACAAATGGAACAATACAAAGTACATTTTAAAAACATATAATATTCATTTACTCTCCTTTCATTAAGTCTTCATATCAGATTTTTCTAGATAAAAACCAACATTCCTAAGACAAAAACAAGTCAGACGTTGGAATAATCCCAGTAAAAATCTTTGAAAATGTAGGCCTGCTAACCATCTTCTTTTTGCCCTCTGAAGGCGATGGTGCCCGTGGGGTGAGGGTCTGGTCAGTCTATGCTCGGCCCCTGGCTAATGTCTACCAGTTTTGTGCTTCAGGAATGAAAACACTGAGGCCCCTCTCTCACCATCCTCTCTCCTTGCTTTCTCCCTTCCTCCCAGCCTTTCTGCTTGCCTACCTCCAAGAGTCCTGAACTTAGTAAGTAATAAATACTGCAAGAGACACTAAAAATGTTAAGGGTTACTGAAAATCTTTAATTACAAACTAAGATAAAATCTATGCTGCAAGGAGCTCTTGCTCTGATGAAGGCTAGAATCTGTTCAACGACTTTTCTGAAGCATTTTCCCTGCAACAGCATTACGAGGCAATGAAAGAGAAGGCTCCTCAATTCACTCTTTCAAATATCTCATGAAATCTGTAGTGGCAAGTGAGGAAAGTTTCCTTTATCCTCCCTGGACTCCGTGTGTGTGTATTAACATGAATGCTCTTGCCTTAATACTCAAAATAAGCTTTGTAATTACACCACCAGGGTGCAATTCCCCAGGTTCTGTGTCTCCATACGCTGCTGGGGGTCAAATCCAGGGTCTCATGCATCTTAGGTAAGTACTCTATCGCTGAGCTAGGTATATTACCTAGCTTAATATTTCTTATAAAAGCAAAAGAAATATCAGTGAAAGTATCAAGATTTAGAATGATTCAGATTTTACTTGATATCTACACATCAGATCAATTGTCTCATGAACTTTCTTACAAGACATGTGTACATAGAAGAGGCCTGTTCACCTCCAAAAGATGCTGTGATTTCTTTTCCTTAACAAAGACCCATATCTGCACAGTTCCACTGTTCCTGCTGGTCACTGCTGGTCACTTAGCAAAATGAAGCAATGTAATGTGATTTTTTTTTATTACTGTACGAAAGTATCACTTGACATAGCCACACCCACCGAACTGTTTTCTACAACTAAAGTGGACAAGTGGAGAATTTTCTAGTTACTTTCCTTCCTCAGGAAAATATAAAGACAACTAATTAGGGTCATTTTAGGCACTAATTCCTTTGTAACCACTGTTCCATTGCCCAATGGGAGTATCTGAGGTTTGTAAATATAATTCTCTTGGTTAGGATAAGACAGTACCTAACATTCTGCTTCCTACACCACATGTAGGTGTCTTCCAAAAAGGTTTCTCTCTCCTTCGGGTTAACAGAGATCTCTGCTCATCGTAGAATCTCAGGGCCATGAATTGCTGTCTAGGTGGAGTAGAGTTCAGGAGGGCATCCTGTTGGTGAGTGAGAGCTCTGGCACTGAAATGGATCACATCTCACTGGCCAGAGGCAGTCATGCAGGACAGCTCAATCTGAGGGGACGAAGGACATGTGATCTTACCTACGTGTCCAGAGGGGAAGAACTGAAAAGACTTGAATACAAGAATGAAGCATCAGATTTTAATACTGTTAATATTTTCACATTCTCTCAAATATAGTAACAGCAAAAGGTTTCTTTTTGTTTTTGTCATGTTGGGGACCAAACAGCCTCACACATGCTTGGCAAGCAGGGTACAATGAGGCATACCCCAATCCCCCTTCCTTTTTCTAAAAAACTTTATTGCAACCATTTTTTTGAAATTTATTGCAACTTTATTGAAATATGCTCTCTATATTATTACAGTTCAGCATCGAGAATTAATTGCCAGACATTATTTTTGGTTTGTTAAGGCAAGAATGTAGCAATGGCACTTTGTTCATGTATAGAAAAATAGCAACAAAAGGACATTTTTCTATTTGAATACAATATTCTTATTAAGAAACTATATATATATAATATATATTATCTGTATATGCATTTATATTTCACCTTTTGTATATGGTAAAATATAGTGACTGAAAAGGAAACACTATGTGCCTTAGTGAACTTTGCAGTGTTACAATAAAATACTCAGGGCAACTAACTTAA